AAAGCTGAAATGCAAATATTCTCAAAGACATAGCAATGTGTTAATTGACAGATGTTCGTAATTCATATCTGTCAGGGTGAAGGTCAAGAAAGGGCGGACATGTCGAATTTTGTTGATGAATGCGCTGAAAAGATAATGACAGTGAGTTAATTAACCTCAATCAACACAAGTTTCATTAGGCGATACCTAGTTGGTCAACGTTTTATATTGCTAATCCTTCAAGCACATCTGACTTGAAGGATTAATATCTAAGAATGTTTCCGGGCACTTGCAATAACGCCTTTGAAAGTTTCAAAATTCACTCGACTTAGAAACATTTGGCTCATTATTCGAAACACATTGCTAAATAGTCAAAGAGCCCGAAAACTTACTTCATAATTAACAAAAACGAAGACTAAGTCTGTGAAACCATTGAAGTCTGATCTGCTCAGGATCTTGATAACGAGAATTGGTATCATGGTGCACTGCCTTTAGAGGACGTAATCTGTCTTATAGCAACTCGTGGTGATTTTTTACTGCGAGCACTCGAGTCGCAAGGTAAACGAGGACCAATGGTGAGTACGTAAGCGCACTAATAAAGAATTTTGAATATATTTACAGCCTTGCCTGACAGTTCGCGTGAATCATCACGTGAAAGATTTCCCCATCCATAGGATTCAACAAACCAATTCTGTATTCTTCACTATCGATGGTGCGAACAAAGCGGAATCCGTAATTGCTCTTGTCCAGTAAGTTTTAAATATTTTCCCGAAAACGAAAACTCATGAAAAATGCAAGTTTTAGATGATAGTTGATCGCCTGCAAGTCTAATGTTGCTCTAACAGCTGAAATTCAAATTAGAGCTACAAGGAGAATTTGTAGCATTCCCGAGGGCTTCCCTATCGTTATGTGTGTGTGTCCCTCTTTTTCAAAACAAGTTGCTGCTAAAGCGCTGAGCGGCACTGCTTTTTGAATGAGCATCAAAGAAATGAGCATTAAACAAGGATAAGCACAAATAATCTTATGCGTCTTTTCCCGTACCAGGTACGCATGCGCGTTGAGTTTGTATCTTATTGTTGCTTAAGTGGGGATTATGAAATAGCATAGGTGAATTAATTAAATTTGAAAAGCGCGAAATGCCGGAATTTTACACGCGCAAGCTGAGGTAATGAGTCGCAGCTCTTTTCTCTCACGCAGATTTCACCGGAAGAACATTACACCATAAGAGCACTGATGCTCAATACGTGACGACGGAAAGTTGGGAAAGCGTTGCCGATTCGTATCGTTAAGTAGGAAACACACTTTCCAGTTATACAGAATAGGAGTTTGAGAAATTATTGTCAGAACCATCCCTACCGTTCGAATCTAAGGCGCGCACCATACTTGATCCGTCTAATCCA